GGGGGGAGAGTGAGGACACCCCTCGGCGGGGAGAGCGAAGACACCCCTGGGGGGGAGAGCGAAGACACCCCTGGGGGGAGAGTGAGGACACCCCTGGGGGGAGAGTGAGGACACCCCTGGTGGGAGAGCAAAGATACTGTGGGCAGGGACTAAAGATGACCCTGGGGTGAGAAGAGTGAGGACACCTCTGGAAGGATGGAGGAGGGAGGATGTTCTAGGGGAGGAGAATGAGACACCCCTGGGGGGCCTTACTCTCTTCTCCAGCACCGTATCTTGCCCCACACCCCACTTTATGCCCTCACCCCACTGAACTCCCTGGCTTGGAGATATTTGGTTCCTTAGCCCTGGAAGTGACCCTGCCCACATAAACCAAACCAACCCCGTTGCTCTGGAGTGGATTCCGACTCACAGCAGCCCTATAGGACAAAGTAGAACTGCTCCATAGGGTTTCTAAGGCTGTCATCTTCACAGAAGCAGACTGCCACAGCCTTCTGCCACACAGTGCCTGCCACCAGTGCAAACCACCGACCTTTTGGTTAGGAGCCAAGCACTTGAACCACTGTACCCCCAGGGCTCCTTCCTGCCCACATAGCTCCTTCCAAGAGCGATTTCACATCACCTCCTCCTGGAAGCCTTTCCTGTCGCCACTGTCCCACCGCCAGCCCCAGCCTAGGCCGCGCCTGTCTCCCTGTAATCTTCACAGAACCCTCTGAAGCAGATTCTCCCATCATCCTGTTTTTACAGGTGGGACGCTGGGCTGGCTGAGGCCCAGGGAGGGCACGCCGGTTACCAGAGTCCCCAGAGCAGCCAGGGGTGGCACTGAGTAAAAACCATGGTCTCCCTGGGCCTCCCCGGCCTGGGGCTAAGGGGCCAGTCTTTGGATCCTGCCTTTGTTTGTGGCCTTGCGCTCCTCCTTCCTCTGTAACTTGTGTCAGCCTGGGGGTTGGGGTGAGTTCAGTTTGGGGGCTGGCCTGGAGGGCTGGGGGGCGCAGCGGGGTGGTTGGTGTGAGGGAGACAGGGGGGCCTAGGCTGGCTATGGTACGTGAACACGCCCGGGCTCTTCTGGCGAGGCCCCAGCGCTCAGCCTCCCGAGCTAGCCCACACAGCCAGCTGCCGTATTTTGAGGAGGCAGGAGGTGGGGAAGAGAAAAGGAGGAAGAGGTGGGGAAAGCAGCCAACCTCATGGTCGCCGGCTTAAGACTCAGGCAGATATGGGCTCCAATCCCTGTGGCCCAGTGTGACCTTCCTCACTGAGCTCCTCTGTCAAATGCTGTGGTCACAGCCTCTGCCCACTGGGTGGGGGGAGGCAGGGAAGAATCACCCCCTCTGCACAGAGGAGTGGCAGGGTTCAAGGTGAAACAGGAGAGCGCTTTTTCCTCCCCTCTGAAGCTGAGTCCCCTTCTTCCCCTTCCTGCCCCCAGTCTCAGCTGGATCAAGATAGATCTTACTTCCTTATTTTGACTTGTGGGGACAAGGGGGTGGGGAAGGCGGCTCTCACTCCTGCCTCCCTCCAGGGGGCTGTGGGTGCCCCCTCAACTTCACTGAGGCCCCACCAGACTCACCTCAGCCCTCGCCTGGACAGTCAGATGGACAGATGAAACTTCACTCAGGGCTTTCCCCAGCTCCCCCTCCCTCTCCCCCTGCCTGCACCCCCACGCCCCTTCGTCCTTGTCTCTGCCTGTGCCCCTCTCCTCAGCCTCCCTGGGAGCCCCGAGCACCCGCCCCTCGGCCACGTACCCAGGCCAGCGGCAGAGAGCAAGAAGAGGAGGAAGACTGTCGCAGGCAGAGCTTGGAGGAGCCCTGGAGCCCCGGGCATCTTCTCCCAGTGGTGGGTTGGTCTGGTGTCAGCAGTCCTGGGGTACCAGACCCCACCTCGACCTGGCCCAAACCCCGCCTCACTTCCTGCCCAACCCTGCAGGAGATGGGCTCCACTGGCCCCCACAGCCGGCCTCTGGCTGTCAGGCCCGGGGACAGCCCCAGCTGGGGTGCATGTCAGGCTGAGATGGGAGAGGAACTGCTCCCTGCACCTGTGGTGGCCACAATTCCCCTGAGGGGAGGCAGCTTGGGTGGGGGAAGGCCTGGCTCCTCACTGTCACTCATGAGCCTTGGAAAGGAAACCAGATATTTGGGTGCCTGCTGTAGGCAGACAGTGAGGTATGGTGCTTCTGAGCTGAGTCTCTGCCACTCGCTGACCTTGGGCAAACCTTGTTCCCTCTCTGAACCCCAGTTTCCTCACGTCTTAGGGTTGGGGTGAGGATTTCAAGACAGTGTACGTGAACAGCACTGGACACAGAGCATGGTGCATAACTGTTGTTATGAGTCGGCCCTGGCTCATGCATGGTGACCCCACCACGCACAACAGAATGAAATGCTGCCTGGTCCTGTGCCTCCCCCATGACTGGTTGTGGATTGGACCATTGTGATCCATAGGGTTTTTTTTTTTTAATTCATTAATGAAAAGCTTTATTTAATTCATTAATGAGGGTAAAGCTGGTTTGACAGAGGACACAAGAGACTCTGCACAGTTAGTGGGAAAAAATGCTGGAATAAGATTGCAAAATTGGATACAAAACTGCTCAGTGTCCTACAAGACAATAATACTGTAACTTTTGACATTTGTTTTTTTCTACAAAAGTTATTTGCAGCTTATCAATTTCCTACAAGTTAATGCCTAAATTTAGAGCCCAACTCATAATAAATGGTCAAACAGCTCACTCACCTAAAGCATCTGATGGTCCTTGATCCATCAGCTTTTCATTGGCTGATTTTTGGAAGTAGATTGCCAGGCATGTCTTCCTAGTCTGTCTTAATCTGAAAGCTCCGCTGAAACCTGCTCAGCATTACGGCAACACACAAGCCTCCACTGACAGATGGGTGGCGGCTGTGCCTGAAGTGCATTGGTCAGGAATCGAGCCCAGGTCTCGCAGTGGTTATGCGCTTGACTGCTAACCAAAAGATTGGCAGTTTGAACCCACCAGCCACTCTGCGGTAGAAAGATGTGGCATTCTGCTTCCATAAGTATCACAGACTTGGAAACCCTATGGGGGCAATTCTACTCTGTCCTGTAGGGTCATTATGAGTTGGAATCAACTCAACCAGAATGGTTTTTTTTTTTTTTTTTTTTTTTTTTAATTTCTGCAGGGAGGGTGAGAATTCTACCACTGAGCTACCAATGTCCTCTTAGCACGTAGTAGGTGCACATTAAGTGTTACAAACCAAACCCACTGCCACTGAGTTGATTCCGACTCATAGCCATGCCAGAGGGTTTCCAAGGCTGTAAATCTCTATGGAAGCAGACTGCTACATCTTTCTCCCGTGGAGCCAATGCTGGTTTCGAACCACTGACCCCACCCGGGCTCCTTTATTAAATGTTAGTTAATATTATTAATGTTCATGAGGAATAAACAAGGCAGGTAGACCAGCCAGCAACCAGCTACATGACTAGGAGTCACTTCTCTGAGTTTTCCCATTTTTAATCCACGACATAAGGGTAAGAGTATCCTCCTGGCGTTGTGGTATGAAATGTTCCTGGAACCCAAGGAGTTAGAACCGTGATGAGATCTTTCCTGGCACTTTTGGCCTCCCCACCACTGGGGAGGGCAGGCCACCCGCCATTTTACAGAGGAGGAAACCGAGGCACAGAGAGGGTATGTCACTTGTCTGGTGTCATTGAGTCAGGGAGTGGTGGAGCAGGGACTCAAAGTCACTTTTGTGGGACTCTCAGCTTCCTTTGTGAACTTCAGTTTTAGACCAGGTAGGAGGGAAGCAAGGTCTGGGGAATGACATGAGGTAACTGAGATGTTTGTGAGTTGTAAGGGAACCCTCACACACGCACAAGGAGACACACAGAAAATTCGCTGCAGGGAGATTTTTGGTAGCAAAAACTGGGCGACAGACTAAAAGCCCATTTGCAGGAGAATGGATACATACACTGTGGTTTAGGCAGCCAACAGTGTCCTGTACAGCAGGGAAAATGGCAGAACTTCCTGTGTGTCAACACAGCTGCATTTCAGAAACAATTCAAACATGAGGAAAAAAACTCTTGTAGCATGTTACAGTAAAAATCTACGGCTATTCTGGGGAATGACAAACGCCCAATCTCTGGGAACTATATCACCTTGGGGGCCGGGGGAGTGGGGGATAAAGACAGTTGTGATTGGGGAGGGGCAGACAGGCAGCTTTGCTAGTCTTGCTGTTATTTTTGTTTTACTTCTTAAGCTGGGTGATGGGGTCACGGGTCTTTGTTACATTATTACACCGCTTTGCATGCTCGAAGTATTTCATATTTTTAAAAAGTGCAACTGTCACTCACGCAGAAGAAGAGTTGGAGAGGTTTGAATCCCAGATCTGCCAACTCACTGGCCGTTTGAGCCTTTTTCTCCTCCTGTAATACGGAATTAATTCTCCCATCTTGTGAGGCTGTAAGGATATTACGTGATGTGTTTTGCATAGTTCCTAGGATGAAGTTAGTTCTCCTTGGGCGCCAGGGCCCTCTCTCCTCCCTCCAGAGACCCAGCGGTTCTGTTGGGCCCCTCGTTGTATGACTTGGGGCAGGTCGTTAGTCTTTCTGCGCCTCATTTCCTCCTGACGACCAGGAAGAAGCCTAGATCCAGACCTGGCAGCCCTAGGAGTTTACCTTCCTACTTCAGCGGCTGAGCCTGTTTCCAGGCCCTCGACTGCCCCCCAGCGGCTGGAGAGGCGCGGTTGCCGGATTGCCGGCCCCCTCGGCCCCGCCCGCCTGTCTGGGCACCTCCGACTCGCGCGAACCGAGGAAGCGCCTGACACTGCGGAACACTTGACGTTGAGTTCTCATGGGAACCCTGGGTAATGTTTTCGTTTTCAGTCTACGAAAGAGGAAACGGGGACTCCTTGCCAAACAGTAACCCTTCTGGTCTTTCTCGCCGTTTCCCTCACTTCCAAGGCACAGTGCACTGTAGCTACTAAGAGCTCGGAGGCCGGAGCCGGGTTGCCTGGGGTCAGCTGCTGCCTCTCCCGTCTCCTAGCCGTGGTGGTGTTAGTCGCTGTCCAGTCTATTCGGACTCATGGCGACCTCACGTGTGCAGAGTAGAACCCCACTTCATAGGGTTTTCAAGACTATGACCTCTCTGAAGCAGATCGCCAGGTGCCTCCGCGTGGGTTTGAACCGTCAATCTTTCGGTTAGTAGCTGAGCACTAACCGTTTGCATCACCCAATGACTTCTAGCCATGGCACATCAGGCAAATTAACTTCCGACTTATTATCCCCGTTCCCAAAATGCCAGTGCCTCTTCGCACCTACCTCACAGGGTTGCTGCGTGTATTGAATGTTTGTAAAGCGCCTGGCACGTGGTAGGTTGTTTTTTAAAAACAAAACTGCCAACGCTGAAAACCTCGGTGCTGGGGGAGATGACAGCTTCGTTTCCTACTGGGTATAGAATCTTTGGCTTGGTCGTCTTCCCACCTTAAACATCTCGGACTTCTATTTGGGGAATGCCGACCGATGCCCACCAGGTGTGCGACCCTGGGCTAGGGCGTTACCTTGCTGAATCGGCTCAGAAGCGGAATAAGGTGCACAGGGTTACAGAATATTAAGGGAAGTTGGGATTCGAACCAAAGTTCCTCGGATTTCACACCCAAGGCTTTGCCCTGGAGGGAAATGAGTCGGATCCCAGCAACTAACCCGGGCTACAGGAAACCGGGGTCCTTGGCCAAGCCAGTGTAGGCGCAGCCTGTGGGGGATGGGCACGTGCTCACAGAAGCCTTTCAGACCTCCCGCCCCCACCAGAGGCCCAATCACAGCCGAAGCTCCCGCCCATTTGCCCTATAGCCAATCGCCGTGCAGGAGCAGAGGTTATGTGGCGTGCAACCCCCATGGGGAGGCTGCAGGAGCTCGGCCCCTGCCCGCTCAGTGCCGGTCCGCGTCTCCTGCACTCTTCACACTCACAACCCTGGGGCGAGTACTTTGGCTCCACTGCTCAACCTGGGCCAAGGCCACGCTTTTAAGTGGCTAAAATCCAGGAAGTAGGGCTCAGGCAGGAATTAGGGGCCGTAGAGCCCACCTGCTCAGGGGCAGGACACTGTCACCCTGGGTTGGAGGCAGTTAAGGGATTCTCGTCAACCGCCAGAGTGGGCTGTTTCCCTTAGCCTCCTTCCAGATAGGAAGCGCGGGGGTGGGCGAGTGGTGGCGCAGGGCACATTCCAGCAGCCCCCTGGGAGGTAGGTGGGTTTACAGGCTGCAGCCAAGGCCCCCAGCTCAAGCCACTGCCTGAACAGCTACTTATTTCCTGAGATGTAACTGCAAAGGCAGGATGTGGGGGAAGTGCCAACAGCCTCCTAGCTTGCTGGCTCCTCTTCCGCAAAGGAAACACAATTCTCCATCCGCGCCCCACCTCCCAACCGGAAGGGAGGCAGCCTAACCAAGACAGGCCCAGACCAAGATTACGAATGAGGCAATTTATTAACCCAGCATCATTTGTTCTAATGTTTCTTGTTGGCAGCTGCCACCTGTGCGAAAAGAGGGAAGAGAAGTAAGTCATGAGGTCTTTGTAATAGCGACCCATTATACACTCACCACCAGGGGACACCAGGCATCCTGATTTGTGGTTTCAAATGTATTCGCCTTGCCTAATCCTTACAAACTCTGGGTATTCTCCCATTTTACAGAGGCACAAACTGAGACTACTCAAGGGAAGGGAGTGGTGGAGGGTACTCCAATTTCTCCCCACTGCCCTGTGTGAGGGGAGGGCCAACCCTTACGTCCATGCCAGGTCCTGGGCCACAAACCAGGCAGGTGCCTGCTCTGCCCTGGAAGAGCTCACCCTCCATTCTTTTGTGACACCTAACATTGCAATGCTCCTAGGAGGTCTGACTCCAAGACACAGAAAGAAGAAATCAATAAGGAGCCCCTGCCAAGCGCTGAGGGCCGCTGGTGTACTACAGCCCACTGAGTCCTAACCACCTCCCGTCTGAGGTGGGCAAGAGATCCACTGCATATACAGGGAGACTGTGCTCCAGAGGTGGACCGGCTCTGCTAGGAGTGAGCGTCTGCATGTAGACCTGGGCTCTGAGGCCTGAACCAGGCCCTTCTCCCCCAAGACCTCCACCTCACCCCCAGCTGCCCCCACCTGATATTCAGTAAGCACAAACAATGAGGAGGAAACACTGCAGGTGTAATCTATGAGAACGCTGACCCGGAGAGGGAGAGGGAGAGGGAGAGGGAGAGGGAGAGGGAGAGGGAGAGGGAGGGAGGGGGGGAGAGAGAGGGAGAGGGAGAGGGAGAGGGAGAGGGAGAGGGAGAGGGAGGGAGTGTGTGTGTGTGTGTGTCTGTGTGTATTGCAGAAGGAAACCCAGTGCCCGCCAGGGCTCTCTGCAGCTGAATCCCCAACCAGACCAGCAGGAAGTCTGTTGGGATCATTCTTCTTCTGCCCCAGGGCCTCAATGCAAAGCCTTCCACTGACCCCCACCACCCTGTGCTGGACTCTGACAAAGCAGGGGGTCAGGAGATGCCCATGGGATGACAGAGGGACCCGCCCCTGGCCCACACCCAGACCTCACCTGTCCGGCGATTCTGTCCAGATCTCTCTGTCCCTGAGGTGTCAGTTTGCGGCCCCTGTGGGAGAAGAGTCACGCGGCCCGGGTGAGCCAGGCTCTCAGGCCCTCCCTGGCATCCGGCCCGGGACCACAAGCCTCCAGCTGAGCCCTGCTGAGGGCCCAGCCAACGCATTCTAACGAGCTAGGGGCAAGCGTGGGAGCCCCCTGGGAGCTGACGGGGGTGTCGTTTGTGCAAGCATTAGATCAAAAGCCCCGAAAAATCAATTGCGAAAAGTTAACGAGCAGGCTAATGAAAGCGGACAGTCGCTAAATTACCTTCTTGGAGCGCAGGGTAGTCAGCCAGAGAGGGCAGGGCAAGGCCCCACTCTGCTGGCTTTCCTGCAGAATCCCCACCTGCCTCTGGGGTGGGGTGAGGGCCTGAGGGGCAGGACTGTGCAGATCAGGCCTGGCAACTGTACCTCTCCGGGAGTGTCTATGTGGACAATCTGATTACAGATGATGTAGGCACTGATGATCTGGCCCCACGGATCCCATCAACCCTTCTCCTCACTTACCCATCTTGGTCCTTCTCCACCATTTTGAGCCCCTCCAGGGCTTGGAGGACCCGGCGGGCCACGCTCTTGGAGCCTCGGCTGAAGTGGCTGGGCATGACGCCATTTCTCTGCCGCCCCCCGTAAATCTTGGTCATGGAGCCAACCCCAGCGCCGCCCCGGAGGTACAGGTGCCGTGCTGTGGAAGCTGGGGCAGGACAGGGAGATGTGAGGACTCTCCTCTGGCATCCCCTCCACAAATGGGGCAGGCTGAGGGAAAGGGCCTCGGTCACTGGCACACAGCTCCCTTGCCAAAGGCTGAACCTGAGGTACTGCGGGTGGAGCCTAGCAAAGGTTGAGTAAGCTGACACACCCCACACAGTGGATGTTCCCAATGTGAAGGATGTTCTTAGCTCTGCTTGCCAGGCCCTGTGCCGAACGCCTTTCACACGTTCTCTCCTACCCTTAGGAGTTGGACAGGTGGTGTGGCCTTGGGGAGGCCATCTAGACTTCTCTGATGACCTTGAGTAACAAACAGTCCCTTGGCCTAGGGTTACCGTGAGGAGCCAATAGGTACATGTCATGTGCTAATCCTCCTTTACAGAAAGGGAAACTGAGGCTCCTGAGGAACTGTGGTTTTCTACCCCAGGGAGGCATGGATGTTTGAAGGAGTTGGGGCCTCCTGTACAGGTGGTGCCCAGACACCAACCACTATATGGCCCTGTCCAGCTGGGGAACTTCAGATAGGGACCTCAGTTCATCCCTCGGCCCCCAGAGACCAGCATTTGAGAATCTGCCCAAGTGACTTCTCTCCTGTGGTCCTCAAGATCACCTGGGGGCACCAAGGATTCATTCCTTCAACAACTATTGAGGAAAAGCCGGGCATTGGGCCATGTTCTAGCCAAGAAGATCCAAAACCCCTGGCGCCCCGAGCTCCCACTTCAGCCTTCTGTAAGCTGTGGGAAGAGTGGGTGAGGTGGGGTCTCCCTCCTGGAAGCGGTTCTTCCACCTCATTTATTTCCAGCCTCTGCCCGCCCTCCAAGATTGTCTCCCTGCTACAAACGCACTTCCAGGGCCAACAGGGCAGCCCAAACCCTCGCCACACATCTCCGTGAGTCTCCTGCCTCTGGCCTCTGTGTTGGTTCTACTCACTTCATAACAACCCTCCTTTCCTCTCTCCAGACACACTCCTTATACACGCCACCCCCACAAAATTTCTACCCAGAGGGACTTCGCTGGAAAAGTCCCCCACCCTTCAACAGCTCAAATGCCCAACAGACACCCCACCCCTCCTGTGCTCACCGAGTGTCCAGGTAGATATGATCTCCCACTTGGGTCATAACCAGGTTGGGGAAGGCAGGGAAGCCTCAGGAACGAGCAAGATGCACACTCCTAAGCTCACAAACCTCCTTAAGAGGTTACGCGTTTGGCCTTGGCCTCACTGAGCTACTAACAGCGCTGACCCTGGTCTTGGTCTAGAAAGAGCTGGCCAAGCTCAGAGCTGTCAGGAGGACCAGGATTTGATGCCAACAGTGCCCCTAGGGGCCCACCCATCCCTCAAGGTGGTCTGTGTGGGGTTATTGAAGGAGATGACTCGCTTCAGCCTTGAGCAGCAACTGGCAGAGAGAGGCTAACTATGGCAGGTGCCATTGTTATGTTACAAGGTTTTCCCCTCCCAAGTCCATGCTAGTTGTTTTTCTGACCCACTAGAATGGAGAGGAAGTCTACAAACTGGAAGCTGTCAGAGATGAAATACCGAGTTCTATAAAATACTGACCTCTTTCTCACCCCTCTCCTCACACCCAGGGCCGAAGACCCACCTTCTGAGTGGAGCCATCCTGAGCAAATCCAGCCTACCCCCGCTGGCTTTTACAAGGGCTGACAGCAAGCCAGGGGCTGTCACAATGGCTTCTCCTTTAGCCCCACCAAAGGCCTCTGCTCCTCTCTGGTGTGCCTCTTCAGATGACAACCCCCTCCTCTTAGGAAACCCTGTCCAGGAGTCAGCTGACCTTGAACTGCAAAGGCAGGGCCATCTGTGCCCTCAAACTGGGTCCACAGTCAAAGGAAAGGGCTGCACGTTCCAGGTCAGTCTCTCCTGCTATGACGACCCACACACTCCAGGGTCTGCCTCAGGGTCCAGCAGGGGTGGGGGGTTCACTCTGCATTTGAGCTAGGGCAGGCCAATCAAGCCTTCTCAAGACGTATCCTGGCTCAGCATCTCAACAGCTTGTTTAAGTTCAAACTGGGGTCCCCTTCATGACCTACTAAACCAAACAAGTGTGAACAACTACCTCCTTCGTCATGAGATCAGAAGAACTGGATGATGCCCAACCACCATTATTGAACATTTTGATGGAAGATTCTATAGAAGAATCCCGATCAAAAGGGGGAAAATGCAGAAAAGAATTTCAAATTCTCATGGACGCCATACTTTCTAGAGCCCTGGGTGAACACCTCAAACTACTGCCCTGAGATAATCCGTAAACCTTAAGGCAGAAGTATCCACTAAAGTTTTCTTGAAGCCAAATACTTTAGCTTAACGAGTAAAACTGCCTGCCTTGAGCATTATGCTGTTTTTTAAAAAATCTATGAGATCAAACTGACAACAGCAACTTGAAAGAGCAGATAGGAACCTTAGGGGGCAGTGAGTTTATGTTAATGGGGGAGGAACAACTCAGAAAAGGAGGGTGAGAATGCACAACTCAAGGAATGCGATCAATGTCACTTTTAATTGTACACGCAGAAACCGCCGACTTGGTGTACGGTTTGGCTGTGTACGGAACCCTGGTGGTGCAGCAGTTAAGAGCTCAGCTACTAACCAAAAGGTGAGAAGTTTGAATCCACCAGCTGCTCCTTGGAAATTCTATGGGCAGTTCTACTCTGTCCTATAAAGTCGCTATGAGTCGGAATTGACTGGATGCCAACCGGTTTTTTTTTTCAGCTGCGTATATTCTCAACAACAACCAAAAGAATGGGAAGGAATTCCCCCCCGCCCCCGCAAACACTCCATCCTTGACCCTCCTCTTAGTAACTTCTAAAGAAAAATTACTTCTGTGATCTCTATTCATGCTTCAACTTGCTTCTGAAACGCCTCCCAGGCCTCGTTCCTTCTACAAACACAGAAGTGGGTGCCCAGCCCTATGCAGGAGTCAGTGGAGGACCAGCCTCCATCCTACAAGAAACAAGTATGTTCAGGTGCCCCAGTTCAGCAGTTGCTCAGTGCTGGATGCCCACCAGGATAGCACACTGGATTCTCACCTCTCCTGCAAGTAGGCAGTGGGCCCACTTGAGAATTCAGAGATCAAGATGCCCACGACCATACTGCACCACCCCCTTCACACAGACTCAGGGTGGTCTTCCCTTGAACTGCCCATCCCTCCAGCAGGTCTCTATCCTCTTCCCTCAAAAGGTTCTAGTCCCACCTCACCTGACCCCCTACACCCACACCACTACCTCGGGACTCCTCACTCCTTCAGCTCTATCCCTCTTCCAGAGCACCCCTGTGAGGGCCCTGCCTTCTGCCACACCCCTCTTCACCTCCCACACTCCAAGATCAAGATCTGTCCTGTCCATTCCATGATCCCTTCCCTATCCACCTCCGGAATTTGCTCCAGCTTCCCCACCGTCACAGCCCTGTCTCCCAAGACAAGTTACGGCCTTGCCTCTTTAGCCTCAAACCCCAACAGGCCAGCCTCCATGATCCACAGAAAGAAGCAAACACAGCACGGACCCTGGTTTTGGACAGACCCAGCCCATCTTGCTCTCCCAGTGTAACCTAAAGCATGGGCATGGCTGTGTCCCAAAAAAAGTACAAAACAGCCACAGCACACATAACGGACGTAAAACCTTGGTCTAGAACAGAATCACCCTGTGCTGCTGGGGCAGGTGGGAAAGGATTTCATAAAGGGACCTCTCAAGGGAGACCAGTGGGGCAAGCAAAGCATTCAGCAGAGTGAGATGCCAAGCAGGGGCACGGGGAGCAGAAAGGGGTACAGCAACCATGAATTAACCACGACTCATCTGGTTTCTTAACCAGGGTCTTGATCCTATTTACCGTTAATCCCTCCCCACCTTAAAAAAAAAAAAAAAAAAAGAAATGCTGGCTGCTGAGGAAGAGCTGGAGTCCCCTCCAAATGGTGAGAGGGGTGAAGTGGATTGTGGCTGCCCTGACCCACTGACTCTTGGCCATCACCAAAAACATTCAGGACTGATATGTGTGGGTAATTCAAGTCAACATCCCTTCACCAGACCTGTTCGAAGAGTCAGTCTTTTACTTCCCCAGGGGGCAGAGGTCATGACTGAGAGGCCAGTGGACCTCACAGACATTTGATGCCTGAGTCGGCTCCCATACCGACAAAGTGCTTCATGTTCTGAGGTGCTGGGCAACTTGTACCAGGGCAAACTCTTCTCAATGTCATTCTGGAGTCCTGCCAATTTCCAAACTCAGCTTCTCACATACTTCCTGGCTGGGTACAAACTGGCCAAGACAGAGGACCCACTCTGCTGATGAAAGGCTTAGACTGGAGAGACCAAGGCCCCTTTAGTGCAGGTCTGCAACCTTGGTGCATCACTGACCACCCTTCCCAGTTGGGTTAGGCCTTCGTGGAGGTAACAGCTTTCAGAAGCTTCACATGGCAAGGACAGGTGAGAACTAGCACTGTGCAGTCAGTAAGCTGTCATTACTCGAAGACTGAAGGCTCACAGAGTGTAAAAATCTGGATGTTTTCTTTTGGGCACTTGGGTGTCATGTCAGGCTTAGAATGATCTGGTCAGATCCCCAACTACTCAGGAACGACTTACATGAAAAAGACTGGCGTGATGACATAAGCAGTAACAAAAATGCTAAGACAGCTGCCTTTCTTGAATGACTTTGACTGCATTGTTAAGAGCAGTCAAGTTGGTTTCGACTCACAGCAACCCTATGCAGAACAGAATGAAAACAGTACCCGGTCCTGTGCCATCCTCACAATCATTGCTATGCTTGAGCCCATTGTTGCACCTACTGTGTCTATCCATCTCCATGAGGTTCTTCCTCTTTTGCTGACCCTCTACCAAGCATGATGTCCTCCATCAACTGACTGCATTAAGCTCATTTAATTCTCACAATAATCCCAGACTGTTAGCATCATTAGCCCCATTTCAAAGATGAGGAAACAAGCATAGTGAGATTAAGAAAACTGCTTAAAGTCACACAGCTAGTTAAAAGGCAGGTGTGAGTTTAGACTTAGGGAGTCTGACTCTGTGGAAACAGATATTCCCTCTTCCTAACTGAACCACTTCTAAGCCAAACACCAACATTTATTTACCCATGCAGATCAAACAGAAGCCACAGGTCCTCACATAGACCTCTTACAGACAAGCAGTAAAGTTACTGCAACTATGAAGTTACTGGATGTCACACAAAGCATGCAGGTATCTCTTCTTCCTGCAACTGTGTGGGCCAAGTAGGAACTCAAGAGGGGGACAGAGGTATGGCCTAAGCCAGGGATCGGTCACCCAGTCTGCTAAACAGTCAAGGACCCCAGTTCCTCACCAGCTCGTGTGTAGAACCAGTTCTCGTCATACGGAGCAAGCTCTTTATGCTTTGCCAGCTTGACAGTGTCTACCCATTCGGGGACTTTCAGCTTCCCGGACCTGGGATCAAGACAGGGATTAAGTCACAATTCAGAAATCTCCACAAACTCCCTTCATCCCCTGACCACCCTCCTCTGCTCAACACAACCGTAGGTAAACAAGAGCCTAATAAATCCTTCAAGAATATAAAGGAAGGGGTCAAAACTCCACAACCCAGGCCCCTGTAGAAGAGTCCCCAACAAGTCTCCCCATCAGTATAGGCAAACACTGAGGCCTTGAGGGGTCAGGCAAGGGCTCGAGTCCACTTCGAACCCCAGTCCCCACACTCACTTTTTGAGGAAGGCTGCCAGAGCTCTGACGAACTCCTGCTGGTTCACGTCTTTTACAGTAACTCCAGGCATCTACGAGAGAAAGATCACGCATGTGTGCCCAAGGCCTGGCGGATGCTGACAGGACTGCGGTTCAGGCCCTATCCCGCTGTTTTCACTCCAGTGCAACCTTAAGCACACCCGTTACTTCCGAAGGTCCTACACTTCAACTCCAAGTCCCCAAGGGCCCCCGCTGCCGTGGGTCCTGCAGAACTCACCGACGCCCCCGGCCTCGGTGGGCCCCACAAACAGCCTGGCTCCCGTATGCAAAGATCCTACATGAACTCCCCGAGCCCCGGGATTCTGAGGAGTTCACGCACTCCCCGCCGCCCAGCAGGCCCAATCTCGGAGACTGGCCCGCGCCAACCGGGCATGCCCGGGCCCGCCGCTCGCACGTGGCCGCGGCTCCGGGGGGCGGGGCGGCCGCGAGCTGGGCGCTCCGGAGCCTTCAGGCACGCGCTCCCGGGTTGGTGAGTCCGGTCCTGGCGCCGCCAACCCAGCCCGACCCGGAGCGACCGCCTTACCGTGCGGCCTCTGCGCTGCCAGCCAGGGGAAAGGGAACGACGGGGTTTCCCGGGCGCACAAGTCGGGCGTCGGACCTCGCGAGAGTTCCGAGAGCTCGCGAGAGCAGGGTTAGAAAAGGCGGCCCCGCCTCTCTTAGGGCGAATGTGGCTTCGTCTCCGCCTAGTTGGGAGGGCGGATGGTGAGGGGCGGGAAGGCAAAGGGAAAAGCCTGGGGGACGGGCGTGGAGGCCTGTCTTTCCTCCGTGCCCTTCATTTTCCCAGAGCAGAACAGAGAGAGGAAGAGGGAGCTCCCGCCTTGAGCTGGGGGGAGTTGGCTTCACTTGCGTCGTTTCCAGCTGGAAGTAACAGCGCTGGAGGAGACTATGATGGCAGAAGTACAGGGGAAGTTGAGTGGACTGGAAAGGTGGAAGATACTGGGCCATTGTCGGCGCCCTGAGCGGGACAACCCCTTCTCCGGATGGATGTGGCTTTTCCCTGGCCGGAAGTGGGGGCAGTAAGGGCGGAAATGTGTCGGGTAACCTAGGAGGTAGGGCGAGGAAGAAACGTGGCCCCCACACTCCCTTTTTCCTTTACCAGCACTCGCGAGAGCAGAAGGAGACGGAAGCCACACCCTTCTTAGGGCGGAAATTGCTTCACCGTGGCCGAGCCAATCGATGTGGGAAGGAGGCACTGGAGACTGGGAGGAGATGAGGGCAGGGAATGAGAGGCAGAGGCGGGAGCTTCGGAAGTCTGTTCAGCTCTGCCTCGTGGTGCTTGAAAATAATCGCTCAGCCCTTAGGCTTACCTTGCTCACTTTGTTGTACTTGCCCCGTCAGGGCTTTAGTGTCTCCATTAAAAACAAAAAAAGTAGCTTTTAGAAATAGAGACACCGAGATACCGACTATTTGCCCCTTTTAATTGCCTGGTCCTGTACATGGTGCATCACATATTCGATTCTATCAATAAATATTTTTTGCATGCCTATTCTGCCAGGCACACGTACATTATTTGGGTGTTTATCATGTGGCTGTTCCTGTTGTTATTAGGTACCATCGAGTCGGTTCCAACTCGTAGTGGCCCTATGTACAACAGAACGAAACACTGTCCAGTCCTGCGCCATCCTCATGATCGTTGTTATGCTTGAGCCCATTGTTGCAGCCACTGTGTCAATCCATTTCATTGAGGGTCTTCCTCTTTTTTGCTCACCCTCTACTTTACCAAGCATAATGTCCTTCTGCAGGGATTAGTCCCTCCTGATAACACGTCCAAAGTATGTGAGACGAAGTCTCGCCATCCTCGCTTCTAAGGAGCATTCTGGCTGTATTTCTTCCAGACAGATTCGTTCGCTCTTTTGGCAGTCCGTGGCATATTCAACATTCTTGGACAACACCGTAGCTCATAGACGTCAATTCTTCAGTCTTCCTTATTCATCGTCCCGCTTTCACATGCATATGAAACGATTGAAAACACCATGGCTTGGATTAGGTGCACCTTAGTCCTTAAAGTGACATCTGTCCTCCATGATCATATTTAATCTTTACAAGGTCCAACAACCAAAGAAGACGAGGGACATACCTGTGATCCAATGAAGTTATGTTGATTGATTTATTGCAGAAAGGAACCACTTAAAAGTGTGAAGCTTTTTTTTTAAAAAAAAATTGATTTAGGTGAAAGTTTACAGGGCAAATTAGTTTCTCATTGAACAGTTAATACACCAATTGTTTTGTGACATTGGTTGCCAACCCCAAGATGTGTCAACGCTCTCCCCTCCTCCACTCCAGTTTCCCTGTTTCCATTCGCCCAGTTTTCCTTTCCCTTCCTGCCTTCTCATCTTTGCTTTTTGACTGGTGTGCTCATTCGTCTCGTATACATGATTGAACTATGAAGCACATCCCTCCCGTGTGTTATTGTTGGCCCTATAGACCTGTCTAATCTTTGGCTGAAGGGTGAACCTCAGGAGTGACTTCAGTACTGAGTTAAAAGCCTGTCCGGGGGCCATACTCTCGGGGTTTCTTCAGTCTCTATCAGACTAGCAAGCCTGATCTTTTTTTTCTTTTCTTTTTTTGTGAATTTGAATTTTGTTCTACATTTTGCTCCCGCTCTGTCTGGGACCCTCTTTTGTGATCCCTGCCAGAGCAGTTGGTGGTGGTAACGAGGCACCATCTTGTTGTTTTGGGCTCAGTCTGGTGGAGGTTGTGGTAGTCATGGCCCGCTAGTCCTTTGGATTAATCTTTTCCTTGTGTCTTTGGTCTTCTTCATTTTCCTTTGCTCCAGCTGGGATGGGAGCAGTAGATGTATCTTAGATGGTTGCTCAGAGGCTTTTAAGACCCCAGTCACTACTCACCACAGTCAGATGTAGAACATTTTCTTTGTAGACTATGTTATGCCAATTGAGCTAGATGTCCCCTGAGACCACGGTCCCCAGCCCTCAGCCCAGTAGCTCGGTTTCTCGGGGCGTTTGGATGTGTCTGTAAAGCTTCTATGACTTCGCCCCGGTCAAGTTGTGTAGCTATTTTTTTATGTTGAAAAGAGTTTAGAACAAATAATATTAAATTTTTTTTCCCACAGTAAGATGCGGAGTATGCAAAATGCCTTAATTATTAAAAAGCCAATATGTTTTGATACCAATATCTGTTAAAAATTAATACTACCTATGCTTCTGTCATGATAAAATAATGTATTTAAATGAAGTGTTTTACATTCATGTAGAATGTTGTCAAAACATATTTCACACTGTTTTTAAAACTTGAGAATATTTTTAGTATCTCTGATTTTTTTTTTTTTGCCAGCATCAGGATGTCATACATGTGTGTAAATATGTATCTGCATGCCTGCTTAACTGGAAATGTCCATGTACTTGAGTAATTTACATTCACTTTTTACACGTTTCTAATATATTCAGTTCTGAATCATTTAAATCTAATTAATTTGAGTAAATTCACTAGATATTTCTTTAAAAAAAAGAGTGAGCTCTCTAGAGGAACTGTAGGGTTCATATAGGATTTTGGCATGGGTGGAGCTTAGGTAAAAATAATATTAAGTAGAGTTTTGATGACTCAATGCAAAGAAGGCCTTGTATAATGCAGTCAATATCACTAAATGCTTAGAAGCAGATCCAGCAACCTGTTTGTTCCCTTGGAAACTACAGAGTTGAGATAAATGGGTTGTTTCCAGAAACCCATCATCTGAAGCTCTGCACCTGGGCTGGAAATCACACCTGCTTCAGTGTGTTAAAGTGACTCATATGGCTCAGATCCTCCAGACAAGAGTGGAATGTCTCATTCTCGCTATTGATAAACAATTTCAAAGAGCAAACTTTTTGACAGTCTATGATTTTAGATAACACAGTTTCTCAGCCCTGTGTCCTTAGTGTTAATTTATATACTTGTTAGTTTGTACAGGTTCATAGTCAACAACTCTGTGAGGTGGTTGTAGGCCAGGCAACTTAGGCTTAGACAGTCAAGTCACTTGTCCAAGGACACATAGGGGTTAAAGCCTGAACTGGGATTTGAACCCACAACAGATGACTGCTCAAGCTTTTCCCAATAAATTCTGTAAACAGAGACTTTTTTAAAAGGCGATGTTGGGCGTCTCTGATCTCGACAAACTGTAAAATGTCTCTCTCACCCTGCATCTTTCTTATTCTTGGGGCTTATCTCACACTTTTATGTCAGATTCTCCAACGCAGGACCTTGGGATCGAGGTGTAAGGCAACGGTGCAGCCATATCAAACAAAAAAAGCCAACATGTGATGTTTTTCAATATGTTTAGTGGGGGACATATGAAGAATTTCCTCAAACCTCCCAGAGAGAACTTGTTTTGTTGTAAGGTATATTAACACCCTATTGGGCCAGGGAAACATCTTTCTCCACCCCGCAGTGGGAGTGGTGCATGCGATAGCACTCATAGTTCTCTTGGCTGCTAAACAAAAGGCTGGCAGTTCGAAACCACCAGCTGCTCCTTGGAAACTCTGTGGAGCAGTTCTACTCTGTCCTATAGGGTCGCTATCAGTCGGAATCGACTCGACATCAACAGGTTTCAATGGGTTCCCTTCTCATGCCACACTTTAACTTTCACCCCGCAAGGCTGTGTGACCTTGGCATACTGGGGACCCTTGGTCAGCCCTGAGTAGCAGCTTCTTAGCCACGTTATGTGTCACAATGCTTCCCCCGCTCCGTGACTATGTGGGCTTGGTCAGGGAAAGCATAGCACAGCAAGGTTTAGGCAGGTCTATTAAGAAGCAATCATACATCGAAGTTATAACTAGGGGAAGGAAGGAAAGTGTGGAACGGACTTCAGTCTTGATATTTTGTTCTGTGTCCTGAGAAGTGTTGCAGGTTTGTTATGCTGTAATCTATTAGGGAGTAGAAGAAGCCCACCATCTCGAGGCCTCAAACAATAAAGAACAAGTTGTAATTGGATGCCATCATTATCAATCATCTTGAGTAAAAACAGGGATGTAGGTGACATCAGGAAAAACAATCAGTGATCAGGCATATCCGTTGAGCTGTCTGCCCCTTCTAAGGGTGAGGCTGGCGGGTGGGATAGGTCTTTATATCTTTGGGATAGCTCAGTAGGTCTTCATATATTTGGAACAGTGCAAGGAGAAGGACTCGACAGCAGAGGACTAAGAAACAAATGCAAGTAAGATCTTATTATTACTTCATGATATCTTGAGTAGAAAAATAAAATACTTGAGAACACTTTTGACTCATGTCTGTCTCTTGGAGTCCTGAATCTTCACTAAATACTTACTAAAAATTACCTATTAATTCATTTGGGGCCTGGCAAGAAGAAACATTTCCCCTACAACACTTGGGCAAGTCACTTTATCTCTTCAAGGTTGTTGTTGCATTTGTAGAATCAGAATAATCATGTGTAGCTTATTACTGTCGTGAGGATCTATGTGAACTGTGTACAGTGGACACAATAAACGATAGTGACTGTCTCTAATATTTTATGTGTCCTTCAGAACTAGACATATGAGCCTCCGTAATTCAGGATAAACTCTTGATAAAGACTAACTTGATCCTCTCTGTCCTGACTGGCCTCAGTTTCTCCATCTGAAAAATATGTTAGATGAGCATCAAACTGGCATTCCATTAGCCGACGCTGGCCTGAAGCTATGTTTTGTTTGGCCCACATAGGATTTAAAGAAGAAAACATCCAATATTTGAAAATGAAGATACTTTACATAGAAATCCAGATTTCCAGCTTCTCTTGGAAAATCAGGAGGTGTGGCATCAGTGAGCCCACACTCCTGCCTGGCAACGGTTTGCTAGGACCAGAGGCGGCTGCCACTTAGGTAGGCATGCACTCGCAGCTTGCCAGCACCCCATCTGGCCTTCTTTACTCATTTACACAACCTGCTTTTCAATTTGTGGCCCCCTGGAGAGGTGGAAACTGCCTATACCTGGCACGTAGCAGGCACTTAATTATTCAGTCAGTGAATCTTCCATTAGCTCCTTCTACCACGCTTTTTTATCTGGACACAATAAGAAATCAAAGTTTGTGTTTATTTGTGGTAGTTACGGAATAACTGATTCTCACTTTGAAAAGTGAATTGAATAAGTTCTTTCTGTCAGTCAGGATAGACTAGGTTAGGTTGTGGTCACAAACAATCCCCAAATCTCAGTGGCTTAAAACAACAAAGGTTTATTTCTTGCTTACTCACACAAACCTAGACACAAGATGGAAAATGTTTCAGTTTTCACGTGCATGGAGACAGACATAAGGGCATAGGTACGTACAGAGTCACATGTCAAATAAATTCCCTGGAACACGAACTCATGCAAAAACCCATTTAGATACTGGTCAGCTTAAATTGCGGAACTGTCTCTTTATTGGGCATTTTAAAAGGTCCCGGGACCCTGAGGGGCAGGGTAAGAGAACATCCACCCTCAGCCAAGGAAATACCCCCTGCTATAAAAGGAACAGAAGGTGAACGAAGCACTGAAAGCTTAAAAAAAAAAAAAAAAAAGTCAAAGCTTGTACTACATTACGTTTCATGCATAAATCCATAAGTACAATTCCAAACATGCAGTGCCTGCAGGCTGTGGCCCCCTGTCCCAGAGAGGCCTCTACCACTGGACTCCTAGCTCAGGAGAGAAATGGACCCTAGATGCCCAATATGCAGAGCAACGGAGGGAGCTGGACTGGGTCGGAGAGAGGGGCCAACGGGCTGGAATCCTCTTCCTCCAACAGAAGCTGCAGGAAGGAAGGTGGCAAGGCCAGGTCACATCCATTTCCCCGGTCCCTTCTTGTCTACCCCCCCAATTCAGGCCTCATCCTTGCCCACTTGGATTACTGCACAGACCTCCTCCTTGCTGATTTTCCCACCTCCAGTCTCGCTTCCTCCAATCCCTCCATCACAGCCACTGTACTTCTCTTTCTAAAGCTCAGGGTCTCTGAATATGTGCCTACCTAGTTCGGGAACATTCCCTGGCTCCCCTTCATGCACAGCTGAGTCTAGACCTATGCCTGGCATGTCAGAGACTCCTAAGCCTCTCTGGCTTCATCTCCCTCTGTTCCGGCAGTTCCTCTAAGCCAGTTTCCTCACCCACACCATGCCCAATCCCCCATTTGAGTTAGAGAATTCTCAGCCTTCCTTCCCCTCTGCCTAGGTGTTTCCCATTTCTCAAGTTTCCTTCAATCCTCTCCAGGCTTGTCATCGTGCCTTGTGAAGGCATCCAAGTTCCCCAGTTAGAATGGAAGCTCCTTGAAGGCAGTTAGCAGACCTCCTCCCAGGCCTGACTCTCATCACCTCTTTAGCCCCTCTCCACACTTCAGCAGGCAGTCTGGGTCCAGAGAGAGAGCCCTGGGCTAGAGTCGGGAATCAGACGCTGCCACTGTCTTCTTTATGCCCTTGGACAAGTCCCTGCCTCTCTCAGGGCCCTCACTTTCCTTGACATCAGGGCACTGGACATTTGCTGTTGGGTGCAAAGCTCAATGTGAACAACCCTCAAGTGCAATCCCAGGGGCTAGGCTGAGGAGCTTGGGGGTCTGGGCCTGAAGGGGTACAACCTGCTACCCTGATCTCCTTGGTTAGTCCCTGCTTACTCTAGTGACCTCCACCTCCCAACCATCTCTATCTCATTCTCTCCCAGGACCCTACCCTGGTCCTGGGCAGGAAACAGGTTACCTGGTGGGCCACAGGGGTGGAGCAGGGAGATCCAGGCAGGGTTAGGGGGGATAGAAGGGGTCAGGCGAGGAGCCTGGGATGAATCTTTCAGCCCCACAAGGGCCTCAGCTGCCTCCCTCTGAAGCTGCCGTTCTGAGGGGGCTGGTGTCCAGGCCAGGCGAGAGGCTCCAGGGACCTGCAAGGGAAAGTGAGAGAAGCACACTGGGAAAGCCCACTTCTGCCCATCCTTCAAGTGCTCCCGCAGCCCCGGGTTCCTTCCCAGACTCCTGCTCTTCCCTCCCCTGGAGTCCTGAATCCCACTTCTTCCTCAGGACCTGTGGCTGCAGCAGAAGAGGGTCTGGGGCGCCACAGGGCTGGAGGATCAGAGTCGAGCATCTAGAGACAAAGAGAGAAGATGCCAGGGGGTTAAACACATGGACAGAAATGTACACATAAAGCAGGAGTTTGCTTTATCCTGATCTGGGAAGCCCAGTGTCTGTTGGGCCATTAGGCCTTGGGCAAGTCCTTTCCCATCTTGGCCTGCTTTGTTTTCTGTAAAGTGAAAATCTCTGCCAGCTTTTTCCTCCCAAGACTACTATGAGGATTACAGGAAATCCTTGGTGTCAGTTTTTAAAAACGCCAGGAGGGACTGAGATTACTATCCCTGCCCAGAGTCTGGTTTCCCTCCCCCACAATCCCCCAATTCCCAGGGAATCTGAAGGACCAGCTTGGACTACCTTTAGGAAGCTTTCTCTAATGCCCTCTGCAGTGCTCCCCATCGTAGCCCGCCATTTCAGCGGGCAATTCTACCCCATCTTATCTGTTTAAGTGGATGCAATAGTCACCATTTGTCCAAGGTCAAGGCCTGCGCTAGGTATATTCCAAACATTATTACTAATTCTCACAACAACAACCCAAGTAATAGTGTCCCCATTTACTGGTAGAAAAACAGGCTCAGAGAGGTAAAGTTACTTCTCCAATGTCTCACAGCTAGTCTATTTGTCTGAGACCTTTTCTTCTTTGTCATCTATTATGGTGTTCAGCACAGGGTTAGGCACACAATAAACATACACCTTTCTCTCCCCACTCACGTGCGGGGCAGACCAGGGGGTCCTTGGGGCTCTCCAGAAAGAGGAGCTGTCAGTATTTGGCGAGGTCCTGGGCAGGTTGGGAGGGGCCCATGAGTGGGCAGGCGGAGTGAGGTGCCAGGATCAAAGCCTAATGAGGGGGAACAAAAGAGACAACAGCTAGACATTCCTTCCAAAAAACGAAAACAAAGAACCGGAAACTGATCAAGTCTCTACATCTGCATCACTTGCCACAAGTGGCCACTGAGCGCTTGAAATGTGGCGAATCCTAATTGAGATGTGCTATAGCTCAATTCTACTCTGTAACATGTGGGGTCGCCATGAGTTGGAATCAATTCCACAGCAGTGGGTTTGGTTTTTTTGGTTTGTAAGTATAAAATACAAACCAGATTTCTAAGATTCAGTACAAACAAAAAAGAATGTAAAATTTCTCAATAATTTTTATATTGATTGCACGTTAAAATGATAATATTTTGGATATATTGTGTTAAATAAAACACATTACTTAAAAAAAAAAGCTTAATAAGAGTTAGAGAACTCAGAGTGTACAGGGGTCAGAGGTCTGGGCTTCTGTCCTCCCTCTCCCCACTGTGTCCTTCCTCTTCTCTCTCGATACAGCAGCACACGGGCTCTCAAATGTCTGTTGAATGAACAATTGTTGATCGACCGTCTTACCAGGGAAGGGATGTAGAGGGACAGCAGGTTCCTGGCAAAGCAAGCGGCACACCACTGGGGGTGGCATGGACAGGGCTGGAGGCAGCCAGTGCCCAGGAGCCCAAGGGCCTGGAGGCAGTGGAGTCCAGGGCAAAGGCAAGGCTTCTGGTGGACGACTAAGCAACAGCGGCCCATGTGAGTTCTCCTGAGGGACAGAGGGTATGGGTTGGAGTCAGGTACAAGGCTGAGCATGGGGAAGAGGGGTGGGTATGTTTTGGGATGTAGGTAGGACCCCAAAACTTCAGAGCTGGGAGGGCCTAAAAGTTCCATGCCCTTATTTTGCTTGTGGAAGACAAGTGATTTGCCCAAGATTACAAAGCCAGTCAGGGCCAGAGGTAGAACTCAGATGTCCAGGATACAGAGGAAGGGGTCTGAGCAATGGCCAGGGTGGGATCCCCTCCCTTTGGGCCCAGAGTCTCCTTACCTTCCCAGGGGGTGTCAGGGCCAGTGGGGTTGCCCCATGGGGGGTCTGAGGCTGGGGTGCTATGTTCTCCTTCCCAGCTGTGAGGAACCAAGGAGAGCTTTGGTGAGCACTTTCCTCTGGACCCTGTGCCCTCCCACTTCCAAACTGAGCTTTTACCTCCTCGTGGCCCTTTTCTACCCCAGGATCTCACTCTATCCTCCCAACACTTGATCACATTTCATAGTTGGGGAGGCTGAGCCTACAGAGTAGAAATACCTTGCCCAAAGTCACACAGCAATTCAGTGGTAGGACTCTCTACTTCTGCTTTCCACACCGAAACCCCTGCCCCATCCCTGGACAGAGACACTCACGGGGGATCCCTGGTCGAGTGACTCCCTTCTTGACACGGCTGGGAGCTTTGGGAGGGGCTGCCCCTCTCATCAGTCCCTGAGCCAGGTGCCTCTTTAGCTGTGCCTCTTGCTGCCTACGCAAGGCCACCTGGGCAGCCATGACCCTTCGGCGCTCCCTAAAAGGGGAGGAGGGGTTGTGAGTCAAAGGTTAGCCACCCTTTAGAAGAGCCTGTCCCACTCCCCTCCCTGAACCTCATACTCACAAGATAAGGACACACTTGTGACACTCGCAAGCCTGGAAGAGGCAGAGGCGCTTGTGTCCCTTGAGGTGGGCAGTGACGCCGTGGTTGCGGCAGCGGGCGCAGGTTGGAGAGCGACTGACAGTTCTCCTGGGAATGAGCTCAGTGCCCTGGGGGGCTCCAGTCTCAACTCCTGTGGCAGAGTCTGAGAGGCAGTGGTGGATAGCAGGCATTTTATCGGGTTCCATGGATCTAGGGTCAGGAGCGGAAGGTCACGATGGCCATGTGGGCCCTCCCCTAACCAACTTCTCTGTCCCTGGGAGGCCCCACTTGAGGTGGTTCTCCACCCCACCTACCCTGGACTCAGCTTTCACCCTCCCTTCTCCCTAGCCTTCTCCCCTTTTCACCCCTCTACCCTCCTTAGGTATCCTCCTTCCTAGGAGCACTTTCTTCTTAAGAAACCCCTCTCTTCTTTCCTTTCTGCCTTTTCTACCCAAAAGTTAGTCTCTTTTGCTCACCTTGACACTTTCCCATGCATAAATCCCAGGGTCAGGCATATTCACGCACTACCATGCCCCTCACAATTCCTACACCCCCCTTTCCATGAACACCCTGTTCCATCCAACAGGTATTCCTGGCATCCTCTTCAACAATTATCATCCGAACTTCCAGCATTTGTTCAATTCCTACAAATATTTTTATGCACCCACACTTGCTTCTGTCATTAATCTCATATGTGACCTGCAATCCAATTTCCCCCTTGCACGCCTTCCATCTGATTTTGTTCTTGCATCCCTTTAAATCCGAATACTCTCTTGCACTCCCAGTAATTATGTTATTCTCGTGGCTCCCTTGCCCCATTTTCAATAACTCATTCATTCATTCATTCCACAAATGTTTACTGAGCCCCTTCCCTGTGCCAGGCCCTGAAGCTCTCTCCTCAGGCACAGATTCCTCACGTGCACCCACACGACATCCAGTCTTTTCTGTAAACCCATGTAGTCGTTGCACCCTTTGCTTCATGCTCATTTTCCCACTTACAACAATTAATCTCATGCATCATCCATCCTACCCCTTCGGTGCACCACCTCTCCATGCAGCACCCCCCTTTTAGCAGCCACCCCCTCAACCGCTGGCCAGTGGCCCCGCCCCAGGGCCCTCGGGAGGGGGAGGGGCACGGGGAGCGCGCGGCGTTGAGGAGGGGAGGCCGGGGGCGCGAGGAGCTCCAGAGGGACCCCGCTGAGGAAGAGGGGAGGGGAAGCGGGGGAGGGGTGTCTAGCGCAAGAAAGTGGGGGAGACGGAACAGGGAGGAAGGGGTGGTGTTCCGCCGCCAACCCGCGGGTTACCACAGCCTCGAACGGGGTCAAAATCAGTCAGAAAGAGGCGACCAAAGCGGGTAAAGAAGTAGCCTGAGGAACGGCTGCGCTCACGCTGTTTTCCCGCCCCTTATAACAGGTACCAATCAACTTCAAGTACGACCTACCGCCGCAGAGGCGGGCAGCCAATGAGCTTCGGGATCCAGAGCTGACGGCCCGCCCCTTACCTCCCGCCTGCTTCTCTTTGCTCCAGACTATCGGGCCAGCCAATAGCGCGTCGAGTTGAATCTCGCGCCTCTTCCTTCTCCCCGGTGCTTGCCTTCTCAGATTGTTCCTCTCCTTTTGGAGGAGGTGACCAATGGGGCGTCGAGTACCGCTTCCAGAACCGAGGCTGGTGCTGCTCCCAAGGAACGGCCCACAGCGCCCCGCCCGAGGCGTTGACCTGGGCCCCTCTGCGCACGCGCACAGCCTCGCCCTTGTGGTCCTGCTGCGTCGATACACCACCTGCCTTCTGGGTTTTTCAGCTGCGCTCGGCGCCTCCCCGCTGGCTGCGTGGAGGCTTCTGTTTTCTCTTACTGATCTCCCCTGTGCCCCAACTCCTGCTCTGCCCTTCTCCTCCTTGTATGCGCCCTCCTCCTGTGATTTCCCCGTTGGCTTCCTGGGCTCCGCCTTCTCAGGTTGTCTCCCTTCCCTGCATCTCTCTCCTTGTCTCTGATTTTCCTGACCTCAGTTTTCTCTCCCCTTGTCGGTCCTGCTGTTTTCAGACCCCATTCCTCCCCGTGCCCCGCTCCCCGCCTGGCCCCTTCTCTGCCACCTTCTCTCCCAGAGACCTCTCTGGGGCGTCCAGGGGGCTCCAGTCTGCAGTTTTTCTGTCTTTTCGGCCTTTTCCGCCCTCACCGTGCGTCTCCTTCCCGGATTTCACCCCGTTCTCAGGGCTTGTCGGCTTCCCTGTGTATCTCTACTAGGCCTAGCTGCACGTTTTCCCGCCCTGTCCTCTGTGTGTGATGCCCTTTTCTCTGTGCGTCCCGCCCTGTCTCTTTTTCTCTCTTTCACTCTCTGAGATTGTCTCCTCGTCCCCCTGAGAGCCCCGTCTTTGTGTCCCTCCCGGCATTCCCCTGCCCCTCTGAGTGAGCTCTCTCTGCTGGCCCTCCTGTCTACCCTCTGCAAGGTTCCATTCCGTTTGTTTGCCCCTCCCTCTGCGTATGGTTTCGCTTTTCATGGAGTTGCTTTCCCTCTGACCTCTCCATCGTTTTCTCCTTGAGGAGTGTAGTCTTTCTGGTTGTGTCTACATTTGTGCTCAGATTGTTGGTTTCAGCCGTTTTTGCATCCCAGGCCGGTGTGTGCCATCTTCTCTGATTGGCCTAATCCCTCTGCATGATCCTTCCTTAGCCTTCATTTCCCCTTGCTGTGTCCCATCTTTTCTGGGGATCTTAGCCTGTTTGTTTGCTATAGAGTTCTGGGTGACAGAGCCTGTTTATCTGTGGCATTCTGGACAGAAAGAGGTGGCGCAAGTGACCTCTAGCTGGACTACTGTGCAGGGGAACAGTATAGATAAAGTTGGAAAGGTTAGAAAGGTGGTTTGGGGCCAATCTGGGGAGGTGCTTGCATGCCAACCGAAGAGATTGAACTTGATCCTTTAGGTAGAGGGGAGGGAGGCAGGAGAACAAATTTTTTTTTTCTTTTTTATTGTGATTTAGGTGAAAGTTTACCGAGCAAATTAGTTTCTCATTAAACAGTTAACACACAGCTTGTTTTGTGACATTGCAGGAGAACATATATTTATGGAGAGTTTAGCATATGCCCAGCACTTTATATTATAATCTTATTAATTCTTATATTGACCCTATGAGATGTATTATTAATCCATTTTATAAACGAGGAAGCAGGCTCAGAGTTCAACAAATTGCACAAGATCACACAACTGATACCTGGCTGAGTAAGGATTCCAACCTTGGTCTATCTTTTGATTCCAAAGCCCACTAACTTTGTACCCTCTATATTGTTTTAGTTATTCCCTCTAATCCCAGTTCCCTCCTTTCATTCCCTGACCTTCCCGTAGGCAGTCATTGGAAGGTGGTCATTGTGTATCTTTGTGTTTTGTGTTTGTGTTTTCTTGTAAGATGTGTAGTGTTTTATGTGCATGAGTTTTTAATTTATGCAAGTGATATTGTGTTATTTACTATTTAACATCATCAGCACTGCACTTTTAAGATGCATCTTTGTTATGTGTACATCGAACTGTTGCTTCTAACTGCTTCATGGTCTTGGGGAGGGATGCTCACATTGCAACAGTTCATCACCACCATCAATAATGTTGCATCCTTGTACATGTTCCTTGGTAGACCAGGATAGACATTTCTGTTATGTAAACCTAGGAACAGAATTGGGTATTTGTAAACCCAATTAAACTAAGTACTGCCACATTCCTCCCTGCAATGCTGCTTTGGATTTGAAACACTGCTCAGTACTCTCAACTTTTTTGCTCCTCAGAGTCCAGAAGAAGGTCCCAAGTCATGCCATGAGCAGCAGTGCACAAGAGTCCCTATATCCTTATGTACTGAATGATGCAGGAAGCATCGAAAGAAGATGGAAGGAATACACAGGGTCACTGTACCAAAAAGAATTGATCGATGCTCACCCATTTCAGGAGGTAGCATATGGTCAAGAACCAATGGTACTGAAGGAAGAAGTCCAAGCAGCACTGAAGACATTGGCGAGAAACAAGCCTCCAGGAATTTACAGAATACCAGTTGAGATGTTTCAACAAATGCTGGAAGTCCTCACTTGTCTATGCCAAGTAATTTGGAAGATAGCTACCTGGCCATCTGGCTGGAAGAGATACATATACATGCCCATTACAAAGAAAGGTGATTCAACAGAATGCAGAAATTATCAAACAATATCATTAATATCAGTAAAATTTTGCTGAAGATAGTTTGAAAATGGTTGCGGCAGTACATCGACAGGGAATGGCTAGAAATTCAAGTCGGATTCAGAAGAGGATGTGGAGCGAGGTATATCACTGCTGATGTCAGATGAACCTTAGCTGAAAGCAGAGAATACCATAAAGATGTTTACTTGTGTTTTATTGACTATGCAAAGGCATTTGACTGTGTAGATCATAACAAATTATGGATAACATTGCAAAGAATGGGAATTCC